AATCTGCCCGTGGCCCTCACTGTGCTGGGCCCCCCAGCAGGCCTCGAAAATGGCGGCAGTTTCGCAGATCGCAGCCCCCCAGGGATGGCGAGGTCTAATTTGAATCCGCGCGTGGCCCTCACTGTGCTGGGCCCCCCAGCAGGCCTCGAAAATGGCGACAGTTTCGCAGATCGCAGCCCCCCAGGGATGGCGAGGTCTAATTTGAATCCGCGCGTGGCCCTCACTGTGCTGGGCCCCCCAGCAGGCCTCGAAAATGGCGACAGTTTCGCAGATCGCAGCCCCCCAGGGATGGCGAGGTCTAATTTGAATCTGCGCGTGGCCCTCACTGTGCTGGGCCCCCCAGCAGGCCTCGAAAATGGCGACAGTTTCGCAGATCGCAGCCCCCCAGGGATGGCGAGGTCTAATTTGAATCCGCGCGTGGCCCTCACTGTGCTGGGCCCCCCAGCAGGCCTCGAAAATGGCGACAGTTTCGCAGATCGCAGCCCCCCAGGGATGGCGAGGTCTAATTTGAATCCGCGCGTGGCCCTCACTGTGCTGGGCCCCCCAGCAGGCCTCGAAAATGGCGACAGTTTCGCAGATCGCAGCCCCCCAGGGATGGCGAGGTCTAATTTGAATCCGCGCGTGGCCCTCACTGTGCTGGGCCCCCCAGCAGGCCTCGAAAATGGCGACAGTTTCGCAGATCGCAGCCCCCCAGGGATGGCGAGGTCTAATTTGAATCCGCGCGTGGCCCTCACTGTGCTGGGCCCCCCAGCAGGCCTCGAAAATGGCGACAGTTTCGCAGATCGCAGCCCCCCAGGGATGGCGAGGTCTAATTTGAATCCGCGCGTGGCCCTCACTGTGCTGGGCCCCCCAGCAGGCCTCGAAAATGGCGACAGTTTCGCAGATCGCAGCCCCCCAGGGATGGCGAGGTCTAATTTGAATCCGCGCGTGGCCCTCACTGTGCTGGGCCCCCCAGCAGGCCTCGAAAATGGCGACAGTTTCGCAGATCGCAGCCCCCCAGGGATGGCGAGGTCTAATTTGAATCCGCGCGTGGCCCTCACTGTGCTGGGCCCCCCAGCAGGCCTCGAAAATGGCGACAGTTTCGCAGATCGCAGCCCCCCAGGGATGGCGAGGTCTAATTTGAATCCGCGCGTGGCCCTCACTGTGCTGGGCCCCCCAGCAGGCCTCGAAAATGGCGACAGTTTCGCAGATCGCAGCCCCCCGCAGGCAAGACAGGAAAAGGCGGGAGGCGGGAGAAGGGATGCGACCACATTGCTCTATTCAAAACGAATACCCAACCAAGGAGGGTTGGGAATAATAATAATAATAACAATAATAATAATAATCATATGTTGTGTTCCTCATTATCCTCCTCCTCTCATTTATATTGCTCGTCCTCTCAAATGCTAAGAATAATGACTATTCGTTGAATACTTGTTCCTACTGATGTGATTCATAAAAGTACGACAATGATTGTTATCATTGTTGATAGTACTTGTATGATTACTATTATTATTCCTGCTCCTCAACTTCCCCCTATACTCCTCTCCCTCCTCCTCCTCTTCCGCCTCCTCCTCCAGTCCTTCTCCACATGAATAACTTTCCCTGTCGCACCCCGAGGCAGGTGGAAAGGGCGGTCCGGGCGTTTCGCCTGAGACTTCCTCACTCCTTTTGACCCTGAAGCTAAAAACTCGATAACAAATTCACGGATTGAGGGCGATTCATTTTCAAAATGTGGCTCTCGCTTTAGCGCCGCGTACACTCCGTGTTAAGACATGCAAGAATTATACGGATGCCCATGGTCGAAATACCAGAACTGGTGTGGGAAAGATGCAGGATTATGAGCGTGCAACAATTACATTGGTTCACGGCGTCGAAGTCCAAGGAATGGCGTCCTGGTACGATTCAGGATCGCCAAGACGCAACAATCAGGTTGATCCGTGGCGTTGGAGTCCCAAAAATACTGTTTCGGCATGCTTCAGAATATTCAAACGGTTGTCTTCCAACGAGGCAGTTCCCCCAGTGGAAATGAATTCTTGTAGGAGCCTATGAAGAGGAAGCCTTAAGGGAGGGTTTATTCCAACATCGTCAATGACTCTTGGGTTTACACTGGTCCTCCTCCTCCTCCTCCTTCTCCTCCTCTTCCTCCTCCTCCTCTTCCACCTCCTGTCGCACCCCGAAGCCAGTCGAAAGAGCGGGCAGGGCGTTTCGCCTGAAAGTTCCTCACCATGTATGACCCTGAAGCTTAAAAATTGACAGCATATTCTCAAATGGAGGGCGGGTGGCTTTCGAAATGTGGCTCTCGCTTTAGCGCCGCGCACATTCGTGTTGCAAATGTGCAAGGCCTTCACGGATTGAGGGTGGTTCATTTTCAAAATGTGGTTCTCGCCTTAGCACCGCGTACATTCCGTGTTAAGACATGCAAGAATTCTACGGATGCCCATGGTCGAAATACCAGAACTGGTGTGTGTGGGAAAGATGCAGGATTATGAGCGTGCAACAGTTACATTGGTTTGCGGCG